CACGTGGAGTGTTGCCTTGACAACAGTTGAGGGTATATTTTGGAGAGAGAATGGCAGCGGGAGTCTGTTACCCCTTTTCCACCAAAAACGAACTGGTTCGGAACTGGTGCTGGTTCAAAGTTGGTTCGGAGTTGGTTCAACTTGCGAACCTTCTCAGAACCTGTTTGTTTTTCCACTAGAGCGCCCAGCGAACGACGTCATTACGTCACTGTGTACGTCGCCATACATCTTAGCTAGAAACGCTTGCAAGTACAACATTACTTTGGGATTATCTCTAACTCGTGAACCAAGAAGGCTTTTAAAACAATTGAAATATGTAAGTCTTTTAATCTTTTCCTTTAATATGTAATCTTTTCTGATTAGTTATGTACTCCTGTCTTGTGTCTTTTTTTTTTCTTTCCATTTATTTGTTCTATATTGTGACTGTTTTCTCCTTTGCTTACATAACGTTTTCAATAAAAAAAATAAAATAAAAAAAACTAGAAACGCTTGCGCCAACTTCAAGCATAACAATTACAATGGCGGACTACATCGTGTTTCTGCAAATGTTTCTCCTGGCTTTGCGATCCTATATTATGTCAGAAAATATGTTATCTAAACCCGCCCCCAGCCCCCGACGTAAGCATGACGTGGTAAAAGAACGGTTCTAGTCCAGCAAAGAGTTGGTGCAGCTTTGGAACCAGTTTTCCTGGCCGAGAACCGGTTCTTTGGCTGTCGAAACACAAAGAACTGGTTCGCGCGCAGGCACCGGCTCCGAACCGGCTCTCAAAATGCGTTGGTGGAAAAGGGGTATCTGAGGACACATCTGTGCAACCGTATCAGTTTGAACCGGAGTCGGACCCGGAACAAGATGACGGCCGCAAAGAAGTTCGACAATTAAAGGTGCTCTAAGCGATGTCATGTGTTTTTTAGGCCAAAACATTTTTTGTCACATACAGCAAACATCTCCTCACTATCCGCTGGCTGCCTGTCCCCTGAACACACTGTAAAGAAACGCGATCTCTGTAGACAGCCCATGCTTCACAAACAGCACCAAAAACAAACTGCAGCAACCCGCTCCCCAAAACATAACAAACTGTTCCAGCCAATGACCGACAAGAAGGGTTTGGGGGTGTGGTTTGGGGGGTTAGTGTGCGGATGAGGAGGAGGGAGGGTCTAGCTAGCCTCCGTTTTGTTTGACAATAGTTCGAACGTCAACAAGAAGTGACGTCACCCAGGATCGCTTAGAGAACCTTTAAGGCTCGAACAGGTCGTTTCTGAATGGTTGGTTAACGTAATGTCACTTTGATCTATCTTTGTATGCACTGGCAGGGTAGAGTAGTGAGATACGAACGCTATGTGTTTACTGATGTACACGTTAGTTCATTGACAGATTGATGTTACAGCTAATGGTCATGAACAACTTTTTTTCGCGATTTGCAAAGATTAATATAAAGGTTAATAAAACTTTACACACTTCTTCTGGAGGTGCAGCAGGGACATGAATAGTTGGTACCGATTCTTTTTTCAGGAGCAGCTTCTTTCTGAGTCTGATCCTCGTTTATAAAGCAGTCTGGTGAGAAAAGATTCGCGAATCGCGCAAATATGAAAGCAGTGACGTTGCTCGTGGGGAATATTCCCTTCGAAAACAAAACTCAGCCACTGCGTCTTCAGCGGTTCGGATTTAGGAACATCAAAATGACTGTTGTGTTCGTTATCAGATAGCACTTTTCCACCGACACGGTTCCATTGTGGGTTCCCGGCCTGTGTTTATTCTTGAACCGTTCCACCCATTTCCACTGCAGAAAAGGCGTTTCCGGGACGGAGAGACCGGTTCAACTCCGACCCTAAAACCTGCTGGTCTCGAACAGAGCAGGGGCTCAGGACATTTTGCGAAAGTAATGCGCGGATCATGGATCATTTCTTCCTAAGACATAAATCTGCGGATAATGCTGAGAATCACCAGGTCAAGGAATTAAAAATCAACTTTCCAATTAATTGTTGATTTTAATAAACACACGGAACTCTCATTTCACGGTAAAACGCAATGAACATGCGTCACTCTTTTACTTTAGTTTTCAACAACCTTCAGGGAAAACCAATCAAGGAAAACATGACTCGAAGTCTTCTAGTGGTCAATATATAAAACACAAAGGAAAAAAACTATGAGCTATTGCTTAATAACTTAAAGTAACAACAGATAACTTTTGCTCTCGGGGTCCCCCTACAGTTGGGAAACAGTATTGTCCTCTACTACTGTCGTAAACTCTGTCATCCTACATGCACGTGCAATTGTTGACAACCATGATAGCCCTGAACACAGTAGGAGGAGGTCACATGCAGGTGTTCTGCTTGCGTCGCGTGTGAAATGTCTTCATCCCAGGTACAGTGGCATATATTTCAGCATGTCATATGAATATAATTTCATGGGTTTTATTTTTTTTCTAACGACAAATGATCGCGATGCTCACGTTTACAAGCCAGCGTCATTGTAGTAGCCTAGTCTATTGGTTACCGTTTTACTGAATCTATATAATACTTCAATGCAATGTTTGAGTGGTTGATAATAACCATATATCGTCAATATTATAATATCAAGCTACCATAAATTAATCTGCAAATTTTACAAATCGATTTGCATTATAGCTTGAGGCAAGACAAATAAACAAATATCACAGACATGTTAGCTATCCTAAAATATGATTTTATTAATAATCTTCCTCCTTTCTTTGTACATGTTGAGTAGACTACACTTTTTAGGTCAAACATTTGCTATTTGCATTTCATCGATTGCAAAGTTCAAATCAGAACGAGAATACTAGCGATAGCTAACCATCAAAAACTAGAATATCGTTTACTAGCTACCAGATTGATAATTCGCTACTACTCTAGCGAATTAGAGAGGTTAGAGAGAGGCATTCTTTTTTCGATGGGGGGTTCAATGCTCCCTGCACACGCAAGGTCTCTCGCTCGCTTTCTCTCTCTGCCGTCCGCGCGCGTTGGAGCACAGTCTCTGTCTCGCGTGCGCGCTCGCTCTAGATTCCGGGAGATTTGAACTAATTTGCGGTATAACTTGTCGATCACGAGTGGCTCAACAGGTAGAGATCTATAGATAAACTCATCTTTCAGGCATTTGACCGACCGGGTTGACAATTTAGCGTGAGAAACCGGGGGTGTGGCGTGTGAGCGTGTGAAACCAATCAAATGCGGGTGTCTCACGGCCAATGCGTGAGAGTTGGCAGCTCTGCAATGTTGATCCTCGTTCTGCCTTTAACGCGATCACTTTCTCTTTTTCTCTTTTTGCTTTGCTCCGATAAAACCTTTGCTTTCTTGTTTTTCTGTGCTGCTTCGGCCATGACTATAACATTTGGCTCGTAAGTCCGATTTTAAGGAAGTGGGGGTGGTGGTGGAAGTGACGTATATGCCGTAAAGCAGTCGAATTTTGTAGTTCTCTTTGACTCTTTGTTCGCTGGTTACTACCCGAAACCCGAAGTTTAAAAGTACGATTAAAAACGCTACAGACCCCGTCAGGCTATGGCAGACGTGTCATTCAACCTATTGTAAGTCGATGTACCATCACAAGAGACTTGGAAATATATTATGAAGGTTGAAAAGTTACCTGTTGTTACTTTAACAACTTTAACTGAAAATATACACAAGCTTAACAGAAATTATACACATTTTTCTA